GGCTTTAGGGGACGAGAGCTGAGGAAGTGTTGTTCTAAATCAGCCATAAAAATGTTGGCATACTGTGGGGCCATGCGGGTACCCATAGCAGTGCCGCTGATCTGAAGGTATACATTGTCCCGAAATGTGAAATAGTTATGGGTAAGGACAAAGTCACAAAGTTCAGCCACCAGGTTAGCCATGACATTATCGGGGATAGTGTTCCTGACGGCTTGTCGTCCATCTTTGTGTGGAATGTTCGTGTAGAGGGCTTCTACATCCATAGTGGCCAGGATGGTGTTATCAGGAAGATCACCGATGGATTGAAGTTTCCTCAGGAAGTCAGTGGTGTCTCGAAGGTAGCTGGGAGTGCTGGTAGCGTAGGGCCTGAGGAGGGAGTCTACATAGCCAGACAATCCTGCTGTCAGGGTGCCAATGCCTGAGATGATGGGGCACCCAGGATTTCCAGGTTTATGGATCTTGGGTAGTAGATAGAATATCCCAGGTCGTGGTTCCAGGGGTGTGTCTGTGCGGATTTGATCTTGTGCTTTTTCAGGAAGTTTCTTGAGCAAATGCTGTAGTTGCTTTTGGTAACTCTAGTTTGGATGAGCTATTGCCAGCAGGAAAGTGAGTTTGTGTGTGTATGGAGGTGGGGGGGGTGAGAAGGCCTGGATTTGTGCTGGGGGTGGCCCACCTTGATTATCATGCGCATTGTTGGGAGAGTGGTCACTTTGGATGAGCTATTGCCAGCGGGATAGTGAGTTTGTGTGTGTGGTTTTTGGGAGGGGGGGTGGGGGGGTGAGAGAACCTGGATTTGTGCAGGAAATGGCCCAACTTGATTGTCATGCACATTGTGTGGAGAGTTGTCACTTTGGATGGGCTATCACCAGCAGGAGAGTGAATTTGTGTGGGGGGGTGGAGGGCGAGAAAACCTGGATTTGTGCTGGAAATGGCCCAACTTGATGCTCACTTCAGATAAGCTATTACCAGCAGGACAGTGGGGTGGGAGGAGGTATTGTTTCATATTCTCTGTGTGTATATAAAGTCTGCTGCAGTTTCCACGGTATGCATCCGATGAAGTGAGCTGTAGCTCACGAAAGCTCATGCTCAAATAAATTGGTTAGTCTCTAAGGTGCCACAAGTACTCCTTTTCTTTTTGCAAAAATGATAAAAGGTTCAGAAACTGTGACCTATGAGGAAAGGTTAAAAAAATGGGATACGTTGAAGATTGAGGAAGAAGCTAATAATGGTCTTCAGATATGTTAAGGAGCGGGATCGATTGTTCACCATGTCCACTGATGATAGAACAAGAAGTAACGGGCTTAATCTGCAGCAAAGGAGATTTAGGTTAGATCAGGAATCGGCAACCTTTGGCACATGGCCAATGGGGGCTGCGGGAAGTGGCGCGGGCTGAGGGATGTGCTGGCCGCCACTTCCCGCATCCCCCATTGGCCTGGAGCAGCGAACCGCGGCCAGTGGGAGCTGCAATCAGCCGAACCTGTGGATGAGGCAGGTAAACAAACCAGCCCGGCCTGCCATGGTGTGACGGGTTGGATCACAGAAACCCCCTGGGAGCTGCCACCTGATGTGCCAGGACTACTTCTGCCTCTGCTTTCCTGCCCTGTCAGCTTAGGACTTCAGTACCCTGCCTGGTTTGAGCCAGACCCGCTAGCCTGCTGCAAACCCAGACCCAGGTCTGAACCACATCCCCTAACAGCTGTAGGCTTAACTGAAAGCATCTTACAGAAGTGTTCCTGTCCTTGATGCTCAGATGCCCAACTCCCAGTGGGGTCCAAACCCTAAATAAATCCGTTTTACCCTGTGTAAAGCTTATACAGGGTAAACTGATAAATTGTTTGCCCTCTATAACACTGATAGAGAGATATGCACAGCTGTTTGCCACCCCCGCCCACCCCGGTATAATACATACTCTGGGTTAATTAATAAGTAAAAAGTGATTTTATTAAATACAGAAAGTAGGATTTAAGTGGTTCCAAGTAGTAATAGACAGAACAAAATGAATTACCAAGCAAAATAAAATAAAACACACAAGTCTAGTCTAGTACAGTAATAAAACTGAATACAGATAAAAACCTCACCAGTTCCAGTAAGCTTTCTTTTACAGACTAATCTCCTTCTAGTCTGGGTCCAGCAATCACTCGCACTCCTGTAGTTACTGTCCTTTGTTCCAGTTTCTTTCTGGTATCTGAAGACAAAATGGAGGGGTCTCCCAGAAGTTTAAATAGACTTTCTCTTGTGGGTGGAGACCCCCTTCTCTCTCCTATGCAAAGTCCAGCTACAAAATGAAGTTTTGGAGTCACCTGGCAAGTCACATGTCCATGAATGACTGAGTTCCTTACCAGGCAAGCCACATTCCTGGGAAAGCCCAGGTATGGATTGGCTTCTCCAAGTTCATTGTTGGCTTACTGGGCACTTACTGAGAATAGTCTTTTCTCAGGAAGCTGACCAACTGTTTCACTAAAACCTACTCAGAATCAAACAAGTATGCAGCCAATATTCATAACTTCGAATACAAAAATGATACATGCATACAAATAGGATTAATAGATTCAGTAGATCAGAACCTTTACAGAGATATGTTACATGGCATATGTAGCATAAAACACATTCTAGTTATGTCATATATATATTCATAAGTATATTTCCATAAAGCCTTATGGAGGGCACTGTCACACAGGGTGCTTACCCTGGCGGGCCAGGGGCCAAAGATTGCTGATCCCTGCATTAGATATTAGGAAAACTTTCTAACTATAAGGGGTAATTATGCTCTGGAATAAGATTCCAAGGGAGTTTGTGGAATCCCTGTCATTGTAGGTTTTTAAAAACAGGTTGGACAAACACTTGTCAGGAATAGTCTACTTTTACTTGGTCTTGTCACTGCACAGAGGGCTGGACTTGACAACTTCTTGAGGTCCCTTCCAGCCCTACATTTCCGTGATTCTATGATCATTAACTTGGGCATCCTTTTTGTAGTTTCAATCAGAGAGAAGCCAAAGCCTAGATGAAGATAGACCTACCATAGAGATAGCTGTAGAGACAAACTGATAAGGTGGAAAGGCTTTCCTTCCTGTACCATTTTTATGGATAAATGGAGGACTTCAGTTTCCAAGGCTGTCAGTCCAGCATCATTCACAAGCACTACATTTATTTTAAAAAGAGCTCTGAAGCATTGATTTTGAAAAAAAACCCATAAAATAAAGAATTAATTTTGCAAACAGATATTTTAAAGGAATATGCAAATATCAGCAATGTCCCTTTAAAACTCAGGCAGTGCTTTTTCAAATGAGTTTAAAAAAAAATAGATACAATGTGTGACAAGAGCATGCTCATCCCAGTGACTTAGAGCCTAAATCTTTTTAAATATCAGCTGATTGCAGAAAAAGAAAAAAAACATCTGCCACGCAGCCTGACTACTTGTAAAACTTGAACTTCAGTTATTGCTTTTTTCTACATCCTCCTTTAAACAACCCGCTATCAAACAGAAACAGTAATTTCACAGGTGGCAAAACTTGGCATTTGACAATCGTTTGTATAGCACTGCAGAAGTACAGACTCTGACTTATTGGGTACCCTTAGCCAGTACAGTCCCACATGCTTACCTTCTGTAGCCTCTCCTCTTTCCTGGCTGTGTCTGACTATTAAGGTTCTTTTCACTTCAATAAATATAACTCTGGCTGACTGGCAATCTGAACTTCCATAAAGCAAGTAGTGTGCTGCTCAAATCAGGAAAAAAGTCCACATTTCAAAATTCCCCATGAAACTAAATTTCCCCCCACAATTGGCCTTATTGAAGCATTTCATTTTGACTTTATCATTGACTATTACATTATCAAAATAATAGTAGCTGAATGAAGCACTTCATGCTTATCAAAACATTTTGGTAATTTAGGGGCAAAAATGTTGACAAAAATCAATCCATTCCCATAAAATATTTATTTTCCATGGAATCATCATTTTCCAACAGAAAACTGTTCCACTGGAAAATTTGAGATCATGCTGTTTTAGACAGAGAGAGACTGATGGGTTAAAAATCATAGGCTTTTAGAAACAAATTGCCTTATACAGGTTGCCCTAGTGGACAGGAAGTAGACTCATTAAGTCAGGCAGAGAGGGAACAGAAACTGCCATCTCTCTGAGGTCAGTGCATCAACCACTCTCCCTCCTGTGCTCTCTGAGGAAGTAGTGCCATGTCTACACCACAGGGACTATAGCAGCATGGCTACATTGCCATAGCTATGCTGACATAACCCTGTCGTGTCTACACAGCCTACAGCAATGGAAGGGGTTTTTCCATCACTCTAGGAACACCACCTCTCTGAGCAATGGCAGGTAGGTCGAAGGAAGCATTTTTCCATCGACCCAGCTGTGCCTACACAGTAGCTAGGTTGGCATAACTACAGCGCTTGGGAAGTGAATTTTTCACACCTCTGAGCACTGTAATTATGTCAACCTACATTTTTAAGTATGGACCAGGCCTAGCAGGACTGTGGTTCATATCCCAGCTCAGCACATACATTTTGAACATTTTTTCAGTTTTAACATTTACAACTTAGTTTCCTTTCCATTGTGTATCCTATTTGTTTACGTTTACATTGGGACAATGGTAGTACAGCCATCTGTTTAATGTTTGTTTGTAATTGGTTTGACTCTAATGCACGGATGCTGAATGTTTTGTTTCAAACAGTGAAGGGAAAGGTTTAAATCTAAACAAAAAACTGTTTTCACTGGAATTAAAAAAGAAATTCAGGGAAACATTTCAATCAGTATTAGGCAAATATAAAGGGAAGGGTAACCATTTTTCTGTATACAGTGCTATAAAATCCCTCCTGGCCAGAGGCAACATCCTGTTACCTGTAAAGGGTTAAGAAGCTCAGCTAACCTGGCTGGCACCTGACCCAAAGGACCAATAGGGGAACAAGATACTTTCAAATCTTGGGGGGGGGCGGGGGGAGGCTTTTGTTTGTGCTCTTTGTTTATGTGTTGTTCTCTCTTGGAATTGAGAGAGGCCAGACAGAAATCCATCTTCTCCAACCCATCCTAATCCAAGTCTCCAATATTGCAACCAGTATAGGTAAGCCAGGCAAAGCGGATTAGTTTATCTCTTGTTTTATGTGAATTTTCCCTGTGTTAAGAGGGAGCTTTATTCCTGTTTTCTGTAACTTTAAGGTTTTGCCCAGAGGGGGATCCTCTGTGTTTTGAATCTGAATACCCTGTAAAGTATTTTCCATCCTGATTTTACCAAGGTGATTCTTTTACCTTTTCTTTAATTAAAATTTTTCTTTTAAGAACCTGATTGATTTTTCATTGTTCTTAAGAGACAAGGGTTTGGGTCTGTGTTCACCTGTACAAATTGGTGAGGATTATTATCAAGCCTTCCCCAGGAAAGGGGGTGTAGGTCTTGGGGGGATATTTTGGGGGAAGACATCTCCAAGTGGTCTCTTTCCCTGTTCTTTGTTTAAAACGCTTGGTGGTGGCAGCATACTGTTCAAGGACATGGCAAGGTTTGTACCTTGGGGAAGTTTTTAACCGAAGCTGGTAAGAATAAGCTTAGGGGGTCTTTCATGCAGGCCCCCACATCTGTACCCTAGAGTTCAGAGTGGGGAAGGAACCCTGACAGGCTTCCATAGATCTTCTCTCTACAAAACCCAGATCTTGGCCCCAAATAATGTCTTTTTAGATGTCAGTTTTATGATTTGACTATTTAAGTTTTCCATCTGTTTCACAAACCTTTGTTTTGTTTTGTTTTAATTTTAAAAAGCTCTTTCTCAAGAGACAGATTTCTCCCAGTTTTTACACCATTGGATTAAATGTAACTAGCAAAATAAGTTTCATTCACATTTTCAAACATGTTCAGTCCATAAAATATTTAACTTTCAAGTTATAATATGCACATAGCACTGTTTTTATAGAAAGAGAAATAAATTATTTGAAAGCAGGAAAGAGTAATAGAAGACAGGGAATGAAAACTGGAAAAATAAAGGCATTTGTAAAAGAACAAAACATGTTTTTCGAGAAAGTTTTTGAAAAGTTAGAAGGTCTCGGTGAAGAACAATTTCTTATTGTGGAATTCTCCTGCTGCAGCACAGTATTGTTAGTCCCTAGAGACTGCTCATTCGATTCCTTAAAGGCTCTGCTGGTACGGAAAATCATGCCTTGTCATTGACAACCTGGCTTAGATTCAAAAATCAAAATAATTTGTTTCCAGTGATACACTTCAGTAACGTTTAATATTTCAGATTAAACGACAGCCAAGTATAATGGTACAAATCTAATAAAAGTGGCTTGGCATTTATACATTTTCTCATCAACTTTAACAGAGTTATAAGGGATTTTTAAAGTTTTATTATTGGCTTTAGGAAGAGAGAGCGCCACTAGAGAGTCCACGTTTTCATATGTGGTGTTCATTTGGTTCCACGGGTAATGTTTTTAATACAGGGCAGCTAAAAAAAATGATCAAAAGGCTGAGACCTGGTGATAGAAATATAATCTAATAGTGACTTTTTGCTAAGTGCGGGCTACACTGGAGTGTTAAATCACAACCCTTGTTACGGGGCTGTTCACTTTGCCTCAGGAGGATCTCCCCAGAGACACATGATTCCACTCCTGCGCCCTTGCAGGAAAGCAAGAAGTGTGCTGACCAAATCAGAAAAAAAAGTCACATTTCAAAATATCCCATGCAACTAAAATTTCCCATGCAACTAAAATATCCCATGCAACAAAAAATGGCCGTATTGAAGCACTTCATTTTGACTGTATCGTAGACAATTATCAAAATGATAGTATCTGAATGAAGCGCTTCATCCTTATCAAAACATTTTGGTAACTTTTGGGCAAAAAAATTGGAAAAAAAAATCAATCGGCTGCCATAAAATATTTATTTTTCATGGAATCAGAATTTTCTGACAGAAAACTATTCCATCAGAAAATTTTAACTCCACTCTAGATTCATGGCGCTCACCTGATATAGGAAATTGCCCTACCAATTGCCCAGTACTGGCCCAGCTAAGTTGACCAGTTTCAGAAGCAAAGGCAGGGTCAAGGTCCTACAGTATCTCCACATTACCACTTTCTTTATGGGGGACTACACCATGGTGGGTCTTCACATTCTTTGAGCACAAGGATTAGGGGCCAGATCCAGTAAAGCACCTAAGCATGTGCTTAACTTCATCCCTATTCAGCACAACACAGCAATATGTGCTTGAGTGCTTTGCTAAACCAAGGCCTCGTATTGTAACTAGCCCCTATGCACGGGTGTGAAAGGGTGGGGTGAAACTTATGCCCTTTCTGTGCACTTGTGCAAGGCTCCTAATGACAAATCCTCCTTAACTAGAAACAATGAGATAAATTCTCCTCTGACGTAACGCCACTGTAGTTGCTCAGTTATAGAGTCAGGAGCATGGTTTGAAAACAATTTAGTTAATGACATCACAACAGATATAATTTTGACACAGTGGCTTAAGTTTTGTGTGTGACACAAGTAGGTAGGGAGCGCTTCAGTAGCAGGGTACAGGGTAAAAGTTTTCATTAGACTAACCTCTTATTGTAAGCTATCTGGGGCAAGGACTGTCTCTTTGTTCTGGGTTTGTCCAGCACCTAGCACAAAAAGGTCCTGGGCCATGACGGGGGCATTTTAGGCTCTACCACAATCCAAATAATAATAATTAATAATGTTGCACATAGACCTCAAGCATCCTTAATATCTTCTTGCTAGTGTTCCATAATAGAGGTTCAGAGAAGACACAGGAATTTGTACACACATACGGAAAGGATTTGTGTGTTAGACTCTTCAGCCTGTGTCACCCAGGGGTGTGAAAAATTCACCCCTCTGAGAGCCATAGTTAGACTGACATAAGTTTGAATATAGACACCACTAGTTCAATGGAAGAATTCTTCAGCTGAACAAGCTACTGCCTCTTGAGGGGGGTGACTTACTATAGAGAAGGAAAAAAACCCATCCCGACATAGAAGAAAGTGTTTCTACTACGCAGTGTAACTGCAGTGCTCCAGCTGTGCAGCTGTAGTGTAGCTATAGCCATAATCAATAGCAACACTGTAAAGCCTTTTGAATCTGGACAATAACATATATAGAATATCTATGCTATAGAAAAATATAGCCCTACAGAACAGATTTTAAAAACATTTGAAATGGTTTCAGCTAGCATGGTTGTAATACCAGTCTGAACAGGACATAATTTAAATAGTTTTTGAAAACAACTGGTGGACAGGTTTGGTTAAATATTTTAGCACAAGGCTAGGGGACCAGAATGCTTCCATTATAAGCATGGCTCTGACACTAACTCTCTGTAGTCTTTGGGCAAGGCTCTTAGGGTATATGTCTACTTGGTAATGCAGGGGTTGGCAACCTTCAGTCCATCAGGGTAATCTGCTGGCAGGCCACAAGACATTTTGTTTATGTTGACCGTCCACAGGCACAGCCTCCCGCAGCTCCCAGTGGCCATGGTTTGCCGTTCCCAGCCAATGGGAGCTGCAGGAAGCCGCGGGCCCACGGACATGCTGGTCACCACTTCATGCAGCTCCCATTGGCCATGAACAGCGAACCGCAGCCACTGGGAACTGCAGGTGGGCCATGCCTGCAGATGGTCAATTTAAACAAAATGTCTTGCGGCCCACCAGCGGATTACCCTGATAGGCCACCTGCCAAAGGTTGCCGACCCCTGTGGTAATGTAAGCCTCAGGCTTGAGCCCAAACCCGCTTTCCATCTACACACAAATCTTAGACTTAGGCTCTTAGGACCCTGGGAAGGTAGAGGGTCAAGCCCAAGTCAAACCAGGACCCAGGATTCAAGCTCTATTGCTTTGCAATGTAGATCTGGCCCACCCCCACCCCTCCCAATTCACATCCTGGAAGTCCACCAAAAGTATCCCAACTTCCTTTATGCTCACTATCCCAAGAATCACCAATTGACTCCAATGAAAATGGAAGCAACCCCTTTGGTGTACAGCAGCAGTTCAGTGAGTCAGTGTTAACCCTTCCATTGTCTTCCCACCACCAAGCTGCAAACACACTCTCAGAGAGCCTTCTGGATTTGCAATGAAGACTGAATAGAACAAGTCTTTTGGGAAAGCACGCTGCTTCCTGGGCACAGGAACACAGCCAGATTTTGGTGACTCTCTAGTGCAAGGCCAGCAAAACTGTGGACTTTAGTAAGAGTACCAGGGATGATCACACATACCAGCAAACAGTGAAGCTGGCAGCATTGCAAATTTACTGGGTTAGGGACTAGGGCAGGGAGCAGACTAAGCAGTTCATGGCTGAGTAAAGGAAAACTGGGGACCAGAACCACACCTTGGGCAGCTTACTGACATCATGCCCATTTTTGCCCAGTAGAGTTTGACTGGATGCTGAGCACTGAGACAACAGTGGTGCACGGTGACTTGGTCAGCTGGGATGTCACCCTCCTGGCCCCAGAATCCAGAGGAATGATGGGAGCCAGCAGCAAGCATTGAGCGAGGCCAGCAAAGTGACTCTGTTTCTGAAACTGGTCCCACAGCAGACTCTGCTGCAGGAGCAGCACATCCTGGGGCAGTATTCAGAGGAGCTATCTAATTCCCGGCCAAGGAAAAGCCCACTGCAGAGCCTGCAGCAGACTCATTCGGGACAGAAGCCACCCAAGCCTGGTAAGTTTTCTGGCTCCATTGTGTTTATTAATATAGGAATGGGATGGGAGGGATTTCCGTTCTATGGACCAATTTAAATAGTTCACCACTAATAGTTCAAAAGCTATTAGGGCTAGGAGTGTGTATCTACTAATAGCAAATTGTATCCCAGCACCTTGGCTCCCCACCCCCCACCACCACGTGGAATTCAAAATGGAAACCAAGAAATACAAATAGTAAAACCCCCTTCCTTTAAGGTTCTGTTGTAAATGATGGTTTGGTGTGGTAATGGCAGCTGGCCTGCTTGGCAATGGGTTAATGTTGTACTTTTCCAATGCATGTTTATAAATAAAGCTTTTTATGTCGTCAAGAAAGTTTATTGCTATTACTGCATCACATCATACAACACGTATTTAAAATAATGAAGGTAAACACATGATCAAGGATAGTTAGGAGTTAGCAAGCAAACACCATTCTTCTGTACAGTTAGGTACATCAATCCAATCACTTCCTTATATAAATCCATACTATGAATGATCTCTCTCTCTCTCTCTCTCTCTCTCACACACACACACACAGAATATAGGGGCACAAAACATCCCTGACTTCTATTACCCGTGTGGTGCTAACTCCAGCTGTAGTAGGTGACCTTCCTGGCTGAGTGACCAGTTCAGCAACCTCTTGCTGTCCTACATCCTTCAGGGGGAAATGGTTCACCTTTGGCATCACAAAGATTGTGAAGAGCACAGCAAGCCACAGTAATGTGGTCAGAATTGATGACACTGGAATCCAAACAGGTCTGCAGACATCTCCAATGGGATTTCAATCTGCCAAAAACTTATTCAACAGCCATTCTATGCCTGCTAAAAGTGTAATTAAACCATCTTTTGCCAGGGCCTCTAAAATCAGGGCAAGTTTCATAAGCCAAGGCAAAAGGGGTCATGCAGAATAACAGTGGGAACAGGAATGCTATTTATAACAATGTCATTTGATAGAAACAGTGCCCCAGCCTGTCCATGCATGTAGACTCCTAATGGGTAAAAAAACATGGCATCATCAATGTTCCCAGTGCAGCCCATGTCAACATTCATAAATTAACCGGTGTGGTCCACATGGGCCTATACAACAATGGAGTAGTACCCTTTGTAACCTGCGTACTCATGTGTTTCTTGAGAAGGGCAAACTATGGCACAGTATATCAGTGGCCCTAGAGGACTTTGGAAACCCCATTCTGGCAAAGCTAATGGTTGTGTCTTTATGCTGGAGGGTCAGAGCAAGCTGCTCACAAAGCTCCAGAAATGCAGCTTCCTTCATTCAAAAGTTCTGGATCCACCACTGGTCACCCCAGGTCTGCATGATGATGTGATACCACCAGTCTGTGCTTGTGGCCCTGCTCCAGATGCACTGGTCTACTTACGGGGTATCAGCCACTATACCGAGTGTCATGAGCAGCATCAGCCAATTCGAGTCTGCCATGTCCGTGCCCTCCTCCTCCTCCTCCTAGCCCATCATAAGCTCTGTCAGGTGCTCTTAGTGGGTCAGAAAACACCAGCAAAATGTCCACCAGCGACTCACAGAAGCTCTGCCTGTTTCCTGACATAGGAGTGAGAGCGGAAGCAAGAGCAGTTCTTCAAAAGCACCTCCTCCCTGTTGCTGGTTCCAGTACCTGCACAGACCAAAATGACAGCAGGACATGTTGCTGAGCTATTCAAGCTTCATCTAACAGGGTGGACAATCAAGTTTTCCCACAGTGCACCATGGTCAAAAGGCTACAGCAGCCACATTTCAGGAAGGCACTAAGTAGTCTTTGTTGTGATTGGTTTGACTTGGATCTTTGTGCCACATTATAGAGATCACATCCCCAGGTTCAAGCCTGGGTCAGAAAATTCTTAATGTAGGATTAACAACCAGTGTAGCCCTGAGCTCTATCACCCAGAGTCAGCTGACTTGAGTCCCACTAACTCTGGGCTTACATTGCAGTATAGACATAACCTTACGGATAGATTTTGGCCTTTAGACACAGCTCTAGACAAGGGGTGCATAAATTGTACCACCTCAGAATTAGACCTGGGCGGCACAAGCCATTTCCGAACATATTAATGTAACTATTCAAAATCATGTACAGTCTGGGCTCAAGCCAGTGAGGTACTAAGCACCCCCAATTCCTTCTGACTTCATTGAAAATTAAAGTGCTCAGCTCCTTACAGGATGTGTTCATCTTCTTGTAAGTCTCTGTACCTCTTGCACTGGATTAAATTGGATCAATTGAAGAACCATGGATCTGGGCAATGTTGCCAGCCTTATTCAAATAATAGAACTAATAAGTGTTTTGTCTGGGAGTGATTGGACTGGCAGTGTAGTTATTTAAAAAGAGAAAATAATAAAGGATAACAATAATCCAGAAATATACCGGAGATAAGATAGGAAATAAGAACAGATGGCAGAAAATATGCTTTAAGCAGCTAGAAGAGTAGTTCCCCAATAGCACATTATGCTGCTGCACGGGAGACCTGAGTTTAGCAGCAATTAGAGCCAGTCCAAACTTTCCATGGGAACATTTTTTCAATGAAAAACAGTTTAACAAAATGGAAATTTTTGGAAAAAAATCATTTTCACTGAAAATTTTCATGTTTTCAGCAACCAAATTTTTGGTTGACAGTTTTTGGTTGGCAGAAAGCAAACTGGTTTTGGTTGCTAAAAACCAAAAGATTATCAGTTTTTAGTTTGTAAATACCCGTACCTAATCACCTCCCCTCACCCTTTATGTCAGCTCTCCTGCCTTGCACATGACCCTTATCTCTTCCTTCCCTCTAAAATTTTCACTTCCATCCAAGTCAGTTCCCTTTACCTGTTCCCTTTTTTTGCAATGAAAAAAAAACCCAAAATTTTGTTTTCATCTAAATTTTCATCAGAAAAAATAATTCCAAACCAGCTCTTGCAGCAATCTCAGGGGTTGTGTCCTTTTTGGTAGCTGGGTAAAATATCAAGATGACACTCAGGCCCTTTCTAGACCAGTGGTAACAATGGTCAGAGCACTACTGTAAACAGGGTGCCTGGCTGCTGGCATTTTAACCATGGTGTTTCAACCTCACACTAGCATTTCAATTCATCCTTGGTAGGGGTGAAGACTTGCTAACCCAGGGGCTTTATGTGCCTGAACCAGCACCGCCCATGTCCCTCCACCTTAAGGGCTCATCTTTGACACTACAGCCCCTGGTTTGGCGGGAGAGAGGCTAATTGTTTATTGAAGTAGGGGAAGAAACAACCAGTTTCTCAACCTTGTCTTGATTGATAAAAAAAATGCATTTTTTATTTGAGGTAACTATCATGTATTAACCTTGGGGTAACTAACATGCATGTGCTATCCCGAGGTAAAAACACAGTGAAGACCTGCCACATCAGTTTTACCAGAAGGTAAATTCACCACAGTCAATCCCTAGAGGGACTGTTTTCCTGGCAGTAAAAATCAAGTGTCTGGTCTTCACATGCTTTTACCTTGGGATAGCATATGCATGTTAGTTACCCCAAGGTAAATATGCACCTTTTTGATCAGTGAAGGCAAGGCCTCCACTTCTGACAAACTCCTCTGTTTTATCTGGGAGTAGAAAAGTTCTGCATATTAAATAGCCTGCCCTTAAATTGTGCTCACCCGATCAACAATGCAAGCTATTTGTTGGACAGGCTATTTTAATTTGCAACCAAGGAAGAATGTTCTTGTTTGTTTATTCCTGGATTATTATTTTTTACAAATGTTTGGATCTTTCAGGTTATTTATTTGAGCTCTTTGTTGTTTAAGAGAAAGTTTCATTTTAATGTCATAATTATTTCACCATTTGAATAACAACTAAGAACATATTTTAATGAATTGAGTATATACTCTAGAAATAAATATATTAACTACACTAATTAGGTTGACCTCTCTGCTTTTACAAACTTAATATGACAGGTTTCAGAGGAACAGCCGTGTTAGTCTGTATTCGCAAAAAGAAAAGGAGTACTTGTGGCACCTTAGAGACTAACCAATTTATTTGAGCATGAGCTTTCGTGAGCTACAGCTCACTTCATCAGATGTTTACCGTGGAAACTTAATATGAGCGGCTGACAGAAAATTACTGTACACTAAATGGAAATAATTAATTAGAGAAATAATGTAACTGTCAGTAACTAACTTGAGATGAACAAAAGTCAGACATAAAACCTAGCACTCGGTTTTGGTGTGGTCCCAAAATTCTCACAGTACATGTAGGAGGGCTTTTTAGAAGGCAGCCATGTTTGGCACTGTAACTGTATTAAAACAAGAGCTGGCAAGAAAATGTTAAATATTTGTCATGAAAAAGTTAAAATAATTGAATATTTTTCATCTTTTTTGTAGAAAAAAGTTTCAAAAGAAAAACATTTCTGAAAAAAATCATTGTGGGGGAGGGTGAAGGAATGTTTTGTCAAAACAATTAAAGCTAAAAAATGTAACCAGTACTAATTAAAATACTGTGTTAAGGAGCAGCATTTTCAAGAATGAAATGAAAGTATTGTTCTCAGCACTAGCCATTAGTAGTGATATGGCCCCAGCTACCATACCTGCCCAGCCCTACTCATACACCCATTGTACACTGTTCTAAATTACTAGTGCATCTTGTGAATAAACTATGTGCACAAAGCTAACTGTTATGGCCATGTCTACAATGCAGTGCCCAGCTGGTGAGGAAGTGGGTCACTAGCATGAAAGTATGTGTTTGCTGAGCATTCTGCTCCAGGTTCAATTGCTTACACCTTTGAAGCATGCTTCTAACTGAGCTTTTCTTTGTCCTTGTGATGCCTTCAACTGAAAAAAGGGGCCTCCACTTGACTTATCACCAAAGGGTTCCGATTGTTCGACTCAGACGATTATTCCACTATTTGAGAATTCCAATTATGTGGTTTGGGAGAGTCACTTGTCTGTCACTCAGAACTTCCCTGCCCTTCCCCCAAGCAATCTTAGAACATGGATAAAAGTCAATAATGGCTTCTTTTTTTTTTAAAGATCC